AATAATAATAATAAGTGCTACTATTTAATTTATTTATAAAAAGAATATAAACATATATATAATAAAATAATACATGTAATATATAATATAATATTTATGTATGAAATACTTTAAATAATTATATTTAATAATAATAATTTATTTTTACATTTCTCTCTCTCTCTCTCTCTCTCTCTATATATATATATATAATTTAATAAATATTACAAACAATAATAATGGATGCTAATAGTTAATTTTATAATAAAAATATTCAAACAATACATGGTAATAAAATAATACACATAATATATAATAATATAAAATTAAATATTTAAATCATATATAAATACTACAATTAAGTAATAAAATACTTTAACAAATAATACAAAAAATACTAATGGTGCTAATATTTCATGTAATAATACAATTATTAAAATTATTTAAAAAAAACACAACACAATATTATGCAAATAATAATAATATTAGAATATAGCAATCATATATCAAATTGATGATAATATCATAAAAAATACAATAAGTAATACATTTTGTACATATTTATGTATACATACATAAAAAATACAATTTAATATATACAATTTATTTCGATAAAGTGTGTGTGAATACATCAAAATACTACATCTACATTGATTTAGCATTTTCCATTACAAAATATGTTATCAGAAATATCATTTGATTGAAGTTATGCATAAATGTACACTATCTGCATGCGTTTGATAAAGCAGTTGTGTGAAGATGTCTTTCCCATGTGTTTAGCTCATTTAGACAGCAATAGCAATAACACACACATGAAATGTCATCCCATAACATTCATGCAGCATCACGTCAACCTATACATTAGTGATCAAGTCATCACTCAGTCATTACTGCACGACAGCTTCAGCGTGTTCTTACAGATCATGCAGTGCAGAATTATAATGACAACAGATAGGCTATACAGTGAATTTCAGATCTTTAGTGCTTTCTGTTAGGTTGAGGGTGAAGACTGTGAGTGTTGGTGTGCGGAGAGCTGCTGGCTATCATTAGACACTGGGATATCCCATGTTTCAACAGCTGTGAACAGGCTCTTTGGGAATCTACTGAACACTCTCTAAATTCACACGTTCATGTCCATGGTGAAGTGAGCGGCGGTCTCAGCACTGCAGGGGAACCGTGAGGAATGTGAGGTGCTATTCCTGCACTCCAAAACAAGCACACTTCAATACTGAATTAAGGCAGGATTTACTACTTATTTAATGTGTAACTGGTTCCTTTTATGCAATTAATTACTCATTTTATCAAGCATGTAAGAAATAGCATATATTTGGAATAATAATATGCAGTATGTGCACTACTATTCAAAAAGTTTAGGTTCAGTATTTTTTTGCTTTGAAAAAGTTCATTAAACTTTTAAGTTAAGTTAAGTTAAGTTGATTAAAGTTAAGTTAAGTTGACTTAAGTTAAGTTGATTAAATTGATCAATTTATAATACACAACATTTCTATTTTAAACAAATGCTGTTTTTTAAACTTTCTATGCATGTTTTCCACAAAAATATGAAGCAGCACAACTGTTTTCAACATTAATAATAAAAAGAAATGTTTCTTGAGCAGCAAATCAGCATATTA